CCTGGGGCCATGCCTTCCTCTGGGGCCATGTCTGCTCTGGAGACCAGGCCTATCCCTGGGGCCATGTCTACAGTTGGGCCATGCCTACCCCTGGGGCCATGCCTACTTTTGGGGCCATGTCTGCTCTGGAGGTCATGCTTTCTCCTGGGGCCGGGGGCTGCAGGTGGACCATGCCTACCCCTGGGCCCATCGACACCAGCTGCCCGCTCTTGGGAAGCGCCTTCAATCCCACTTTTCCATGCTTGGTCTGATTAGAAAACTCTCATGTGATGTGACCTCTATCTCCTGGGCCACAGAAAGTGACCTTGGAGTGGCTACCCAGCGAGCATGCACTTATGAAGGCAGTCCTCCTGACCAGGACTGGACCAAAGGGGACCTGAATCACGAGGGACTTTTCTTGTAGATATACGTATTTTTTATTTCTCTTGGATGAAGGATGGCAGAAGGCAAGGGAGGCCATTTGGGACAAACTTCTTCATGGGCTAGGAAGCTGTTCATGTGGAAACCAGAGGCCGTGGGAATAGTCAAGGACACMTTGAAAGATTCGGTCCAAGAAAAGGAAGCGGATGTTCAGGTGGAGCCAGATGGAGGAGTGGGACTGGAAACAAGACCCRGTCTGGTTGCCCTGAAGTCCACTGCTTTATCTTTCCTCCAGTTTGGTCTCCTGGTTCAATAGATATCTCTCTCCCTTTGCCCAAGTTAATTCTAGTTGGCTTTATGCAATTTCCACCCAAAGAGTAAAGAGGCAGAAACAGAATTTGGATTCCTTGCTTGCCCCCATTTCTGTGCTTCCCACCAGACCACAGTATCTCCCTCCCTCTGTGCCAGGAGAGACACAGCAGGCCCACCCTAAGCCCACAACAGGCCCTACCAGCCCAAAGCCGGCCCCCACAGCAGGTCCTCACCAGACCACCTCCAGGCCCACAGCAGGATGCCACAAGGCCCCCACCAAGCCCACACCAGGCCCTCACCAGGCCCTCACTAGGCCCTGACCAGGCCCACAGCAGACGCTGACCAGGCCCTCACCAGAGCCATACCAGGCCCTCATCAGGCCCTCACCAGGCCCATTGCTGGCCCTCATCAGGCCTACAGCTGGCCCACAGCTGGCTGTCCCAGCCGGGCTCACAGCGGACCTCATCAGGCCCACACAGGCTGTCATAGGCCACACCAGGCCCTCACCAGGCCCTCTGAGGCCAGAGCAGGCTGTCGAAACCCACTGCCCATCCCTACAAGGCTCACAGCAGGCCCCCAAGGCCCACAGTTAGCCCATACAAGCTGTCATAGGCCCACAGCAGGCCCCCACCAGGCCCAGAGCAGGTCCCCAGCAGACCCTCACCAGGCCCACAGATGGCCCTTACATGGCCCTTACCTGACCCTCACCGGGCCCTCATTTAGCCCACAGCAGGATCACAGCAGGCTCTTGCCAGGCCCTGACCAGGCCCGCATCATGACTCCACCAGGCCCTCACAAGACCCTCACCAGGCCCACAGCTGGCCTGACCTGGCCCTCAGCAGGCCTTACCAGGCCCACAGCTGGCCTGACCTGGCCCTCAGCAGGCCTTACCAGGCCC